AGAGAGAGAGAGAGAGAGAGAGAGAGAGAGAGAGAGAGAGAGAGAGAGAGAGAGAGAGAGAGAGAGAGAGAGAGAGTGAGCCAGGGAGAGAAGAGAGTCACCTACCTGGATGAGGATGCTGGATATGGGTTGCTGAACTCTGCGCTCTTGAGCATTTGGTGACTAGAACTCCGAAACTGTTTAATATGATAATTCGTTGGAATTTCTAAGCTGCGCTATTCTGGACCTTGCATCTCTGGTCTCCAGTGGGGACTTCGCGTGATCTCTCAATGTGTCAATGTGTGTCTGTGTGTGTGCTCAAGGCGACAAGCAGTGAGGCTCAATGCACTGTTGTGTCTCCTTGCCTAAATGGTTCTGTTTCTTTTTGTATACTTTTGCATGTCTTCTTGGGACTCTTGTAGTGCTCAATTATCTGTGTTTTTGCACCCACAGGACAACCATTGAGCATATGCCTTTTTGCCATCATCATCTTCTGGCTGGAAACATCTGCCAGCCATCCCTTTTCACCAACAGGCCTTGACTGTGGCCAACCAGTTGAGATTTCAAACCCTGATTGAACGTAAATACAATCAGTCTCTAATAGTCTCTTTGTTCGCGTAGCTCAGTTGATAAACCCACGAACTGCTGGAATACAGACTGAAGTTCGAATCCAGATTCTATCAGATGAACAGAATAAAATCATTAAAATTATATAAAATAAACAAAAAGAATTGCATCCCCCAACAGGGACAAACGGTGAATGGGGGAGGCGGAAGGAGAGGTGGAATTCCAGAGCAGAGGTCGTATCAGTAGTTACCCTGTGATTCGCAACTCCTCCAATGGACGACAAGATGTCCTTCTGCCATATGTATGCTGAGGGTCTGTATCTGATGGCAGCTCAGGTCTCAAATTTAGCCTCTGCAGGTAATGCAGGACAGGATGAAGAAACACCGTCACTGTCACCATAGAAAGCAAAAAAATAGCTGCAAAGATACCATGAAGATGAAACCTTAATCACAAGAACGTTGTGCTCCGAAGACCAGAATTGAATCAACGGCAAAGAAATCAGTGGAAAGTTGGAAACGACAGAGCAATGATCGCATGTGTAAAAAAGTCGCCTTTTCATGAGGGACCAATCCCTTTCTTGCCGCTACCAATCAACAAACCGACAGACGGACAGGCATGCAGATAGACAGACAGACAAACAGACAGAGACAAGAGTCCGACAGACAGTTAACGGGCAATCAAACAGACAGGCAGACAGGCAGTCATACACACAGCCACATTGATGGAAAGGCAGGTAGGGAGGCAGGCAGACAGACTTGTAAACATGTGCACACATCCATGCGCATGCACACACACCTAGAGAGCAAGAGAGAGAGAGAGAGAGAGAGAGAGAGAGAGAGAGAGAGAGAGAGAGAGAGAGAGAGAGAGAGAGAGAGAGAGAGAGAGAGAACTCACACATTGAGCAGAGTGCTTCAGGGTCAGTGGCAGAAGCCTCCGAAAGTCCCGCTGATGATGTGGACACACTGCATAGCTGTACAAAGGAGCCAACAGTGACACAGGCAATGTCAACACATCCCCGTTCACATACGCTTTTCTTTCTTTCTTCTTCTTCTTTTTTAACAGGTCCTTATGGTCCTGGCTCCAAATCCATTCTAGGGAGCCTCAGTCCGGTTCCTGTCCACCGGCAAGCCCAGAATTGGACTACATGGTGAACACTCTCACACTTCCTTCCGTCTGGCCGAAGGAACCCTGACTAGCTCAATTGCTCCAACGTAGGAGGCTTGACTCTCAGCTTGCAATACCACTTTTCCTCTCAGAATCCATTGTGATTCTGTCATATAATTCATTTGCAACAAAAAAAGAGGAAAGTTGTCTATATTGCTGAGGGTATGGTCCTATTTTGCCCATCACTGGGTCGTCATCCTTGCTGCAGTTTCGCTGTGCCATTCAACGTCAACATCTATATTTTCACTTGAGTCACTTCTATATCTTCTATGATGATCAATCATGGGAGACAATTCCACCATACGGCTAGCCATACATTTAGAAACGTATGTGTCATTGTGTCTGCTTTAGTCTATTGGAATGATCCCCATGGCGGGCCAGGTGCTTGCCTTAAACCACCAGTACACCCCAGGCTGCGGCCGCTTCACTTGCAAGGAATGAGCCCTGGCGTGGCCCTTATCAGACATGCAAGTGTTCTGGGCTGCGGCCCCTAGCAACCCCATGCCCGCCCTAAGTGAAGGCGGGCCTGAATATCCACGTGAGGCCTACTTTCGACATTTTCCATATGTGGGGTATCAGACAGTTGCAGCACGCCCGTTGTTTCCAGAAGCAAGGGCTGCGCTGTACAGTTGAGCCCAGGGCTCAGGCTGTTGCGCCCTGGGCACATTCTCGTGAGGCCGACACATGACGGACTGGCCGCGGGCCAATGAGAAAGCAGCATTGCCATCACACATGCACCGCGAGCCAATGAGAATACTGCAAACACTTGGAGGCTGGGTGGCTGCCTGAACGTGCCTGACTGCACGAGGCCCAGCCCAGTATCTGAAACTGGGCCCGAGCGCGGACACTTGGGGCCAGACTGAAGCTACTGGGCCCCTACACGCCTGGCTAGGCCAGCCAGAAGCGGGCGCACTTTCCATAAAGGAAAGTGTGTGCCCCCTGGGCACGGCATTCTGGCTTGCCAAGGCAATGCGGCCACGCTGCTGCGTTGCCGGATGAGCGCTGCTTAGCGCTGGCAGGCTGGGGCGCATACGGATGCTGACAGGTGAGAGGGCACTGCAGTGGCAGTGGGCGCACGGCGGCCATAGCCGGGCAGCGCATGTGGATGTAGGTGACTGCGATGGTGGTCTTCGGGTAGGAGCGCATGCAGAGGGAGTCATGGGGTGATGAGGGGAGGAGAGAGAACGTAACTGGTGTATGATGGCGGTCGGCATTGGCGATGACGTAACGTACATTGGTCTTCAGCTGCGATGTGACCTGGTTGCAAGAACATAGATAGGTGTAGATAGGCTGAGTAGAGTAGGTAGGCTGAGTAGAGTAGGCTGGGCGCTGGGCGCCAGATAGTAGGAGCGACATTGGGTACTGTGTTGGTGTGACCAGAGAGTGGCGACATTGACATACGAGTTCATTGTATTGCTCTTATTTGGACGGTACCTTGGTGCATTGTGCTCTCTGCTTGGTACATGACTACTGAGCTGCTTCGTGATTTTGCAACTTGGTTTTCTGTCTATCGCTCTCGCTCATATTCCTTGCAAATTTGGTATCAGAGCTGGTTCGATATCACCGTTACCAGCATTGGTGACTTTGTTACTTGGTGCGCTGACGAAGCTTCTATGCTGTAAGGATACATTGGCGCTGGCTTGCAAAGCCACTCCCGCGTAGAGGGGAGTCTGGCAGGAAGGCTGTGGCGACAGCGTGGGAGCTGTGGCGACAGCAGGTGTATGTGGGATTATGAGAACATGCTGACAAAGCAT